CGCACAAAAAAATTTTTTTATCAACTGTGATTGGCTGATAATCATGTGATATTAAATTTGATTGGTTGGGAAGATTTTGGAAGCGATCTGCATTTCGTGTAACCTTGACGGTCGCTCCTGTTATTGTACTCATGATTGGGCGATATGTTTATGATGAAAATGTGGAATATGTTAGTATACAATATGGTTCATAACGGGTTTTATTTTTCTTATATTAAAATCGGGTTTTAACATATGAAAAATAAACCTGGTTCAAGCTCGATTATATAATTGCATTCATTTTACACTGTAGTTCTTGAAAAGCTAAGCTGTCCCAATTTAAAATCCTTAAGGTTATTCTTATTCAAGCTATCCCAATTTCGTACTTGCCTGATGATACATCAATTACACCTGAAGACCTTCCTTATTCCTTTCCCCTGATGATTTATTCTGCCGCGGCCGTTACTAATTCTTACCAATCTAATGATGAAGTTGGGAGACATAGTTTCATGATGCCCAGGCGATTGTACAATGGAGTGACCGGTAAAAAGAACATTGAATCTAATGTTATCGTATCTTACACAAACCAGAATGGTCGGTATAATTCTCTCAAAGAAAACTTAAAGAAAACGGTTATATCAGTAATCGGAAGATTCAAGATTGGATCGCATAAAAAAACACCCCATAATCGCATCAGACATCGAGTGGAATTATGCAGGTAATATTAATGAATCCCAAACTTCATCCTCATCTAATAAAGGAAAAGAGAAACCATGCGATGATTTAGATAACCAACTCGACCTTATAGAAGAAAAGTATGCTAAAATGGATACTCAATCCTCAAAAAAAAGAAAATTAGATAATTATACTCCAAAACCAAAACCGCAAAAAGACGAATCATCATCTACTAATTTTATGGACGCACTCTCCCAAATTAAAACTGGTGAATCTGCTGTGCAAGAAAACTCTGATAATACGGTTAATAGTCAAGATATAGATTCAGATTAAAATTTGATCATATTGTTACATCAAAATAAATCTAATAAAAATAAAAATGAGTAAATAAAAATTAATATGTTATTACGATATATGATACATGAGTCAATTGTTTAGTTAATGCAGACCAAATATTTAAATCAACAGAATTATAAAAATAAAACCAAATCTAACTTATCTTAAAAAATTATATATAAATATCTCCATTAAATGCTCGTAAATTTAACAATTAATCACCCTGAATCGATATTCCAAAAAAATATATGTCTAACTATCAAATTCAAACTTTTCCTCTTTTTACCTTTCAACACGCTATACAATCCGATTCAGAAAATCCTCAAAATGATCATTCATTCGATCCTTATATATTCAGAAATGAAATAAATCAAAATTTACCAAATGCGCCAGTTCTTGATAATGATCGAGTACAAACTGAATCAAACTTTTCACACTCACTCGATTATAATCCAATCTCTCAATGGGTTAATCTTCAACACCTATTAAATGAATTTCAAACAAAAATATTATATGACTATCCATGTATTCCTTGTGCCCATTGTTCAATGTTAATAATGAAATCTTCTGTAAAATAGAACATCTACGATCCCAATGAAGTTTATCATTTAACAATTGCTTTCAATATTCCAGTGCATACCTGAATAAATAAGCAAAATGTTGAACAGGTCGCTGTATGCAATGGATGCAAAAACCAAAATACTCGTTGTTATCCTCCTATTCTGACTCCCATTCCTTCAGAAATCGAAGAAGTTCCTATGATGCATCGAAGATATCTTTCTCCTGTTCATATGAACTGTTCTTTAGGCCGCGCTGCTGGCACAAATCATTACACAAATTATAGACATTTAGAAGGTTTAATAGGAATAACACACAACTATCGGTCTTTACAATTATATTCTGGATCAATTGGTGCTTATTTAAATTCTAATGAACTATCAAATTGGTTTCATAACTCATTAATACCCACCTCGGATTGGCTAAAACAAAATAACAACCTTATTAGACAATACCAATCGAATTTAATCACTACTTGTCCATCACCAGAAAGTATCGTACCCGTATCTTTACCCTGAGCGACCCAATCTATCAACATTTGTACGTCTTTTTCGAATACATATCAAAGCACTCTTTCTAATGAAATTCCTCGTCCACCTGATTTAGTAGTGCCAAATGTTTCATTTCCACAGGAGATCCATAATTAAGATGCTAATCACAATCGTTTGGTTGCCGGAACTATCTTAACCAATAATAACATAAATCTTCTAATTCTTTTTAATAATCCTGACCTAGAAGCTCTAATATTTCCGGATCTATTTCCCAGAGGTCGAGGCCATTATAAAGATATAAAAAAACACTTGAATATCCAACCATCTATAGATAGTTACGGTAAATATATCAAACTCCAAATGTTATGTCCTGATTCATGATTTCGATTACATTGGTACTGGCCACACTGGTCGTATTTAACCCTAGAAAAAAAAAGAAATTTTCAAAATCAACATCGTCTACTATCTACATGACACATCAATCGACAATACCATCCAACAAGGGCCGATTTGATTAGCACAAGTTTCTATAATAATTATACGATTCTTGACGAATCGAAAACTACAACAATTCCATCGTACCTCAGAACTGCTGCTCCATATTTTAAAAAAAAACAACATCAAGTCAACACAATGATACAAGCTTACGGACTGCCTCAAATATTTTACACGATGACCATGGCAGAAGATAAATGGTCTCAATTATGTAAATTCTATTATCAACTGACAATCGTGACCTGTTACCAACAAACCGTCCATTACATGTCTACATGTTTTACCGAAATTTTTTAAATAACATTCGTAACAAGTTATGGAAAAAACCTACTCTAGCTGGCTGGGGAAAATGGGAACACTTTTTCGAACGTGATGAGTTTCAGAATAGAGGAACAATCTATACACATGGATTCGCCTATACTGAAAAAAAATCTCAAGAATTAATTTTCTTGAATATGATTCGAGTTGACGTTTCTGACCCTATCACGGAACCTGACCTACACCAGTTAGTTATAACATTTCAAATACATCATTGTGATCGCAGATGTAGAGAACAAGACTCAACTGATGAACAGTGTTCCAAAGGTTTTCCTCAGCCTTTATCGGAAAGAACATACTGTTCTCCAAATAATTTACAATACGTGTATCATCGTACCAAACAAGAAAACAGAATGGTCATTCCATACTACCCTGAAACTCTGTTGATTTGGAGGTGACATATAAATTTTCAGTATATCACATCAAATGGATTTGCAAAATACATAACAAAATACATAACCAAACCTGAACCTTCCGAACTCTTTAATATCTCCAAAAACGATGAATACAGAAGACATATTATGGCACGAAGATTAGATGCTATGGAGCTAATGATCCTGTTATTACAATACCCTTTAACAAGATGCTCTGTCTCTGTACTTTATCTCCCATCCGCACCCTCTGAACTTAGACCTAGATCCGTTAAACCAATCTATCTTCTATCCCAATTAAATGATGACGGTGATGATAGCAATGATGACGGTGAACTTCCATATTGGGACGATGCGATTGACAAATATTTCAACCGACCCAATTATCCAAACTTTGACTTAATTACATACCCTGATTATTTTCGCAATTACACCTTCAGATCTAGACAACTAAACCAACGTTCCAACTTATTATACTATCGAGACCGCAAGAATAGATTAGTTGTTCAACGAAAAACTCCAATTCTACTAAGATTCGCCATTTACAATGTAGAAGATGGAGAGCCCTTTTTTTTTCAGCATCTCATCATGAAAATTCCTGTAAGATCTAAACAAGATCTACTTGGAGATTTTGAAACATATAGAGACAGATTCCGAATGATGTTTCCCGTAAGATACCATCAAGTAACTGAATCAATTCGCAAAAGCTATATTGATCAGAGAAATTGCTTATCTGAATCGTATAATTCTATAATAAGTTCTCTTATCCAAGAATTTGAAAATCGTGATTTGTCTGATCTGATTTTCAATCAATTTCTCTCTTTAGAAAAACATCATTCCTACTTAGAATCCCGTTCCTTATTAACACTAAATACCGATCAATACCAAATTTACTCTATATTATCCAATGTATAGGGAAAAACATCAGAAGGAAAATATCTATATTTTTTTTTAACGGGCCTTGCTGAAATCAGAAAATCTTTTTTATTGCATCAAATAACTTCGTTACTCCAATCAAAAAAAAAAAAAACTTACTAATGGCCTCTACCGGAGTTGCAGCTCACAACATTGATGGAAAAACACTACACTCATTATTAAAAATTCGATCTCACGACAGAAAATATGAAACTCTAATTTACTCCAATAACGAAGATGAAATCAAATTAAAAAGAATAGATGCATTAATAATAGAAGAAATCTTTATGATAGATAGAGATCTATTCACTTTCGTTAGCAATATCTTTGCCAGAATTCATAACAATAATTTGGTTTTTGGAGAAATACCAACTCTAGTAGTAGGTGACTTGGCTCAACTACCTCCAGTAAAACCAAAATATGTTTTTCAATCCCCAGCCTGGTCACCCTTCTTCCCTCTATTCTTAAAAACTCCACAACGTCAATGTAACGATCTTGACTTTTATAACATTCTACAAGAAATACGAATTGGCCACCTATCAAATAGAACTAAAAGCATTATTCAATCAAAAATCAACACAAGTAACGATTCTGACGAATTCTACAATACTACTCACATAGTTAGTACACGTCAGGCTGCTAACAACATAAACCAACTTCTATGTACCTATCTCCCGTTCGATCATACAACATGCGAACCTTTTATCTCTACATCCGAAGATATATTAGACTTTGAAATTCTAAATGAAAACCACTCAATTACCAATTTCAAACATTTAACGAATCTACCTTATACCATATACCTACAAGAGGAAGCACGCATCATGTTCTTGAATAATAAGCTTTTCGATAATGATATCTGTAACGGCTCAATTAGGATCATAACGAAAATTATTGATAATCAAAACGTAGAAGTAACATTCCCTACTTTTACTAACCTAATTAAAGTTAATGTTCAAAAAGAAACAACCTACTTCAATATAGACAAAAGAAGAGCATCAAGAAAACAATTTTCCCTCCAAAATGCTTTTGCACTCACCGCTCACAAAGTACAGGGGTTAACCTTACCTCATGTAACCACCTCTATCGACGAATCTATTTTTGCAGAAGGTCAAGCTTATGTCGCAATGAGCCGTGCAACTTCATGAAAAAACATCTGCATTATTACAGTCCGAGATATCTCCAAATTTGGTTTGTGTAACGGATAACGTTTTGGAATAATGATGATCGATTTTAGAATCGTCTATAAAATTTTTTGTATTTTTATTAGCTCGTAGTTATACTTTTTTAACATGAAATGTTGAGCCTTTTATGATATCTGTTGATAACCAATAATTATATATGTAAAAAGTAGAA